GTCCCGCTCTGGTCAAATTAAAAAATAATAACAAATAATTCCTTAAATTTTTAAAAAAAATTTTTCAGGACCAGCAGCTAGCGTAATGGCTATGTCGCTGGACTCCCATGTAGTCGACCACAGTTCGAGTCCTGGACCCGGTGGCTTAAACTCATGCCAGGCGCATGTGTGCCCAAGATCCCGAGAGGAGAAAGGAGAAGGGATTGAGGTGTGGTCATCCCCCCAGGGGATGATTTCTCGCTTTCTGTCTCTGGCGAGTGCACGCATCCTATAGCAAAGAAAAAACAAAACAAAACAAAACAAAACAAAAACTCTCCAAAAAATTTTTTTTTAATTTTTATTTTTAGAGAGATTTTTTGCTATAGGGGGTGTGTACTCACTAGAGAAACAGAGAAAGACAGAGACAGAAAGTGAGAAATCACCCCCCAGGGTATATGGCCATGCTGCAATCCCTTCTCTTAGTCTCCTCTCGGGATCTTGCACACGCACACTCATGCACCCAGTTTGAGTTTTTTAGGCTGTTGGATACAGGACTTGAACTGCAGTCAACTACGTAGGAGTCTAGTAACATAACCATACACCACCTGCTGATCCAAAATAAATATTTAATTATTTTTAAGAATTATTATTTTGGGGACCAGCAGATGGCGTAATGGCTACATCGCTGAACTCCCATGTAGACTACCGTGGTTCGAGTCCCAGCCTCAGTGGCTTAAACTCATGCCAGGTGTGTATGCGTGCATGTCCAAGACCTTGAGAAGAGAATGGAAGAGAAGGGATTGTGGTGTGGTCATCCCCCCGGGGGGGTGATTTCTCACTTTCTGTCTCTCTCTTTTTGGCAAGCAATCCAAAAAAAAAAAAAAAGAATAATTTTTTTAGAATTATTTTATTTAACTTTATGTATTTACTTATTTTAATTTGACCAGAGAGGAACAGGGAGAGAGAGGTAAAGTGAGAAAGTAAGCCACCAGGTCTGGGACTTGAACCACGGTTGAGCATGTGGGAGTCTAGTGCCCTTAATCACTATGGTACCTGTTGGCCCAAGTAAATAATTCTTAAAAAGAAAAAAAAAAAAAAAAAAACCAGTCCTTTTATTTATTTATTTATTTATTTTTTAGAGATTTTTGCTATAGGGCGTGTGCACGCGCCAGACAGACAGAGACAGAGAGACAGAAAGCGAGAAATCACCCCCCTGGGAGGGTATAGCCACGCTGCAATCCCTCCTCCTCCATTCTCCTCTCGGGATCTTGGGCACGCATGCACACGCGCCCAGCGGTGAGTTTTAAGCCACTGTTCCGGGACGCGAACTACGGTCGACTACATGGGAATCCAGTGACATAGCCATTACGCTAACTGCTGGTCCCCCAAAAAAAAGACAGTCCTGCTAGGAGTAATGAATAAGTTTCTAGTTTCTCTCCAGTTTAAACAAAAATCCCCTGACATATAAGGGGCTCTTCTTTCCTTTAAAAAGCTAGAGCCTTGACCTAAGCTGTGCCAGGGACCCGCTACCAGAGTTGCTTTTGCTTCCCTGCCTAAGCCTCAGGTTTTGGGCGTTACTTGATCTTTTCCTAGCTTCCTGGGAAGGTTTTCAGGAAAACTACCACCCGAAGATACCAAGAGCAGTTATCGTCCATGTTAACTGGGTACCAGGCACTAGACTTAGCACACGCAAGGTCTCACTCAACCCCCAGGAGGTGTATTGTTATCACCCTCATTGTAAAGATGACAAAATTGAGGTTTAAACACCTTGTCCAAGGTCATACAGCTGGTGAGGGGCAGAATTTTTCCCACGAAATTCTCCACTCATGACTACTTCATCTTCTCATGTTGCACCTGACCTACTAGCAGGCTAAAGTGGGAGTATTTTAATAATATCAATAGTAACTTCCTGAACCAAACTTTCTGACCCCTGGAAGATGGGGCGATGGTTCCCAGATTGTTGAAGTACAGTCCCCCCGAGCCAGAAGTTGGCTGCCTCCCTCTTCCCTGCCCTGGCAAGCATAGCCTTCCCTTGCCCTTTCCCCAAGGACAATCTGTGGCAGTTCCCACAGTCAGTGCCTCATGGAGGAGGCAGGAAGCAGCACTCCTGAAAGGGCATGGCTGCATCTATCCCTGCTTCCATTCTAAGGCAGCTCCCACTGCCAGGAGGGCTGGCATAACCCTATTTCCCAAGCTTGCAGGGCCCCGGTTTCCTTCTCACCTGGTGTCATAGTTGTTGGAGTGCCGATCAAACTTGTAGGTGGGTGGGAAGAGCAGGGGTCCTTCCTGGAACTCTCGGAGCAGCGGGTCGTATCTCTTGGCAATGCTGAGCTGTAAATAGAGGCACAGTCCATGTCTCCAACAGCCCTGGTCCAATGGCCCAGCATCACACTCCAGTTCAGGGATCGGTACATACCATCATGAGGGACAAGAGCCAAGCAATGCCACTCTACTTCCTCACTGCCCCAGGCTGCCTCTCCCCAGGAGAGCAGCTGAATCCTTTTGGAAACATTATGCCATGAGCCCAGGGAAGACAGCTCTTGCAATTTCCCAGTCCTTGGACCACGGGGCCAAGGCTTTAAAATCTCTCTCTCTCTCTGGGGGTCACCAGCAGACATATGTCAGAGGGGAACCTAACGATGGTATCTTACCCTCCAGGAGGCAAACAAGGCTGGGGATGAGAAAGACAACAGGGATACAAACAGAGGCGGACACAAGGTGTGGGGCACTGCAGGTCAATGTCCTTCTGGCTCCCTATCCTAAAGCACACTGGCATCTGTACCCTAGCTCTTCTAGGTATAGATCAGACTCTGACAGGAATAGATGCCCCACCTGCCAGGTGCAAAGGCCTCACCTCCACACCACCTCCTACCCCCAAAGAAGAGCTGCCAGACAATCAGAGCAATGCTCCACCCATTTGAGGTAGACTACTACAGCGGGATTAGACCACTCTCCAGGGCCCTCCCCTCACTTGATACCTGATCCTTCTCCCACAGGACACTGTAGCACCGATTTTTTATGGATTCCCGAACAAAGTGCAATCCAAAGTCCTCGATCCGAAAGTTCATGTCTCCAAACCAGAGAATGAGGCTTTAGAAAGAAAGGAGAGGAGTCTAAGGGTTTGTAAAGCCAGAGAAGCAACAGGTGGCTTAGGACTGCTCAATGCAAAAGCTGCTGGAGAGCAGAAAGCCCAAGAGGGCAGGTGAGAAGCTGCTAGGAGAGGATCAGGTGAAGACAAGGGCATGCATGGGTCCAGCAGACTGGTCCAATGGCTCCCACTGCTCCATTCAAGCCAGTGGCCAGCCCAGAGGGCCTAGGACAAATACGGAGCCAACACCCCCCTCCCTTACTCTCCCTTAAATGGCCACCAGGAAAGGCTGAGAAACAGCCCTTCTGGTGACCTCAGTACCCAGAGGATTCCTGACCTCAGATGTGCAGAAGTGCCCAGGCTTTCTAGGCAAGAGAGAGGGCTGGAGGAACAGACCCTCAGGCAGGTAAAGTTAGGCAGGGCAGCAGCAAATGGAGCAGTGACTGGGCAGAACACGCCAGCCCGGGTTGGCATGGGGAGAAGACAGGGTGACAGTTTGCTCACTCATGGTCCAGGATGTTGGGGATATCACATCTCTCAAAATTCTGCATCTCCAGAATCCGGTCAAAGTGATCCAGTCGCTGGTCATTGTTGGACAAGTGAGGAGGCAGGTGGCAGTTGATGATGCTGATATAGTAGCCATAGAGCTTCAGGCAGATGTTGACTCCGCCTTTGTTCCCCTGGTAGGACAGGTGGGCAGAAGGGTGGAAAGCTCCTCTGGGCTGGACACACCCCCTCTTTCCCCATCCTAGGCCTGTGAGAGAGTTTCACCTCCCTTAGGATCTCCCGGGACAGACATCATGCCTCCCAGGATAATCTCTCTACGCACAGAGCCCAGCTCACCAAGCCCCCTCTGAGGCAAGAGAAAGAGTTTGCAGAGCTCTGGGCTAGATGGAGTACCAAGATTCGTCCCACTTCCTTTTTCTTCTGCCCAGCTCAAAGACGCCCAGCCCATTCCAGCTCATGACTCAGACAACAGCTTGGTCCTTACCCAGTACCCGAAGAGGCCAGTGGGGGTGGATTTCGTGTAGAGGATCTGGATATAGGGCAAATGCTGGTACTTGGCAAAGACCAGTAAGAGGAGCCCTTGCATACGGACATAGGAGACCTGCAGAAGAGCGAGGGCAAAGGTCATTCATTAAACTGCACATGCTAAGTGCATCTATGCTAGGTCCTGTTTAAGAGCCCCAGAGAGTCCTGAGCCACATATAGCCCTGCACCAGGGCCCATGAAATCCTGCTGTAAGTCTTTGAGCTTCATTCCCCTGTTTCTTCCTCTCAGCTGCCAAGTGATACATTCTGGGAGCTAAAGTTTCAGTCTACTTCTGGGCTTGGGGATAGAGGACAAAGATGAAGAGAATGCCAGGGCAACCTATCACAGGAGGACATCAACCCCCCAGCCCCAGCCCCATGCATGCCTAAGTACTCTTCTCACTGATGCCATCCTGAGATTCTCAGGGTTCTCTTGGCCTGTGACTTCCATTGTTCAAGGACTCAAAGAGGAATTTAGCTATACAAGATAGTGGCTAAAGGTACTGGCTTTGAAGCCAGCCAGATCTAGATTCAAATCCTGACCCCATTCTTAGTATTTGATATTAGATAATTCTTTCAGCTTATTTGCTCATTGATAAAGTAGGAATAATACAATCTCACAGATGCTGAGAAGATTATTTGACAGCTACTATTTCTGGTTTAAGACATTTTTTAGGTTTTTAATTTTTTTTAAGTATTATTTATTGGGGCTGGCAGATAGCATGGTGGTTAACGGCAATGGACTCCCCCACATTGCCAACAGCAGTTCAGGTCCTGGACTTGGCAGCTTGCTATCTCTCCCGCTGCCTCTCTGGTCAAATTAAAACAAGTAAATAAAGTTAAATAAAGTAATTATCTTAAAACAAAAATAATTATTTATTTAGGGACCAGCAGATGGCATAGTGGTTACATTACTGAACTCTTAAGTCAACCATAGTTTGAGTCCTGGATCTGATAGCTTAAACTCATGCTGGGTATGTGTGCATGCACATGCGTGCCCAAGATGAGAATGGAGGAGAAGGGACTATGGTGTGACCATCCCCCCAGGGGGTGGTTTCTTGCTTTCTGTCTCTCTGCCTCTCTGTCTTTCTAGTGAGCTCATGTGCCCTATAGCAAAAACCTCCGTTTAAAAAGAAAATATTATTTCACTTTATTTATCATCATTATTTTTTTTAATTTTATATAGGCATTTATGAGAAAGAGAGAAAGTGAGAAGGCAAGCTGCCAGGTCTGGGACTCAAACTGTGGTTATTCATCTGGGAGTCCAGTGCCTTAACCATCATGCCACTTGCTGGCTCTTTTTCTTTCTTTTTTTTTTTTTTTTAGGTTTTTGCAATAGGGCTCATGTACTTGCTGGAGAGAGGCGGTGAGAGGGAATGTGAGAAAACATTGTCCTCCCTCCGGGGACATAGTTATGCTGCAATCCCTTCTCCATTCTTTTTCTGGGATTTTGGGCATGCATGCACAGGTGTCTGGTGTGAATCTCAAGCCACCAGGTCCAGGGCTTGAACCACGGACAGCTATGTGGGAGTCCAATGCCTTAACCATCATGTCACCTACTGGCCCCAAGGATTTGGAAAGCAAATTTGGGCCAACTCTATAGTCTGGTGGTTAAGACATCCAGATCCTACATGGCCAACTATGTAGTTCAAGTCCTGAATCTGGTGGCTTACAAAACACCAGGCATGTGTGCATGCATGTCCAAAATCCTGAAGGAAGAAATAAAGAAGGGATTGTGGTGATACCATTCCCTATGGAGGTTGCCTTCTCCTTTCTCTTTGGCAAGTGCATGTGCCCTCAAGCCAAAAAAAAAAAAAAAAAATCAAAAAGAAACATGAGAGAAGATAGTCAGGCTGCACGGCAGTAAAGGTGGCTATATTCCATGTGGCCAGCCATCTGCCATTCCAGTCCCAGATATAGAGGCTTGAGAGACATGCCTAACACATTTGTGTGAATGTTCAAAAATCCTGAGAAGAGAATGGAGGAGGGATCACTGCATAGTCATCCCCACTGGGGGATGCTTTCTCACTCTGTCTCCAGTGAGTACATGCACCCATAGCAAATTAAAAAAAAAAAAAAAAAAAAAGAGAAAGGCTTCTAGGGTGCTGCAAACAATCTGCATCTTGATTTGACTGAGATAACAAGGGTGTGTACATGTACATGTTTGTGCATGTGTAATGTGTGTGCATGTATAAGAATCCATCAAACTGGGACCAGCAGTTGGCGTAATGGCTATGTTGCTGGACTCCCACATATTTGCCCATGGTTTGAGTCCTGGACCCAGTGGCTTAAACTCAAGCCGGGCACGTGTGCGTGCATGCCCAAGATCCTGAGAGGAGAATAGAGGAGAAGGGATTGTGGTGTGGTCATCCCCCTGGGGGGTGATTTCTCGCTCTCTGTCTCTCTCTTTGGCGAGTGCGCGTGCCCTATAGCAAAAACCTCTCCAAAAAAAAAAAAAATCCATCAAACTGCATACTTAACTTTGGCACACAATTTTGTACATGTTATAGCTCAGTCGAAAAAAATTAAATAAAAAAACCCCGCAACACCACAGACTGTATACACTTGGATGTCCATGAAGACAACACACAGGTAATGACAGTGAATTTGGAGGACACATGCTCAAGGTTGGGGGAAAGAGCTCATATTTTCTAAAATGAAGTGCTTTAGATGTTACTTAATCCTTATACCAGAAATCACTGTCCCTGTTCTGCAGAGGAGGAACTGAGATTATGAGAGGGTAAGGAACCAGCAGGCCTACCTGGATAATAGCAAAGGATGAGAATGCCAAAATCCTTACTCTCTGTGCCTATAGGGGTGGGGTGCGAATGGGCTGCAGCCAGTGACCCTCTCTCTCAGGTTCAGGCTGTCTACACCCACCACCCGAGTAGCTGTTTCCGGAGCATGAGGTGCAGAGGCCAAGGAGGAAATCCCCGGGTGGGGAGCGTGTACTGGGGCCTTCCAGGAATTATGAAACTTGATCCTGCAGGCCAGGAGTCCTAGCACAGTGGGGGAGTCAGGACAGGGGGAACCCCAAATCTAAGACTAAGGAGGGGAGGCGTCAGAACCTGAGGCTGGCCAGAGGTTGCTACGAATGTGTCCATGACCCCACCCTTCACCCAGTCTTCCAGTTCTCCCATTCATGTGACAACAGAGGTAGGGGAAGGGCTAGACTATGAAGGACTGCAGCCCAGGATCAGGACTGGAGCCAGGGAACTGATAAAGATTCAGGAAGAGTTTTAAGTTGAATCCTGACCCACAGAGCAGGTTTAGGCCACTGTGTTCCATCATAAAGACAACTGCCCACTTGAAGGAGCAGCAGGGGGTTGGGAGCAGGGAAGACAGAGTGGGGGGGACAGAACTGACTGAGACTGAGAGAAAGGGTGGGACTGTGGAGACAAGCAGGGTTGGGTTGGGGGGTGCAGGGAAGATAGGGAGAGGGGGACAGAACAGCATTAAGACTGGGAGAAGGGGTGGGACTATGAGGACAAGCAGGAGACTTCTAGGGGAAGCTCCAGTTGGAGGAAATGAAGTAGGAAGAGCTAAAGAAGGGAGTAGGGGGAGGTGACTAGGAGCCCTGGAACAGGCGCAGAGGATCAGCCCCAGCTTCTCAACCTATGGCTGCCAAGTCTCTATCCCAGAACAGGCTGTAAACAGGGCTTGCCAGTCCACCTAAATTCTTGGCTAAGGGAAGGAGGGGCATCCGCTTTGGGTGCCAGGGCCTCGGGCTGGCCTCCCAACCTCGGGAGGCCACATGGGTAGAATGGGCTGTGTCCCTGCACAAGCTGAGCTAATTCCCTTGGCTTGATTCCATCCTACCAACCGCTTGCCAGTTCTCCAAGGCCCGAGGAGGCCTCCAGTCTTGGGAAGGGAGTGGGTGGTGAGAAAGAGGTAGTTCTGTTCTCTGGGAGGGTCTAGCTCTGAGTCTGCAGGAAGGAGCCTCAAGGTCTGACTTAGAGGGGGTCAAGTGCTCAGGGGCTGACAGTTTCTAGCCTTGACAGTAGCACGACACCTTGTATTCCCTCCTCCCCATTCTGCCTTCTTAGAAGGTTCTCCAACTCCTACCTCAGCACCTCAGACAAGTGAAGATTAGAAAATTAACTTGGAAGAATAACAGTTACCCAGAGATGGGAACAAAGAGAATTCTGGCATTTCTAAGAAGCCGTGCACTGGATGCTGTGAATGGGAATGTGCTTCATCCCTCAGGTTTGCTGGGCAAAAACAAGGTGAGGATCTAGGAACCTAGGGCCTTCCTGTGGATTCTCTTATGGTCTAAACATTCCCCAATGTATACCGTTCTTCTGAACTAAGAATTTTCCCCCATCAACTCCCTTCTCCTCACACCTCTGGACCCTTAGGAATGTAAGGTGCAAGTCCTCTAAGACTGGAGGATACCCTCTAATACCAGCAACCTGGCCACGGGATACCTGTTAGACTTAAAGCTCACCAGTACAGGGACCAGCAGTTAGCGTAATGGCTATGTCGCTCGACTCCCATGTAGTTGACCGTGGTTCGCGTTCCAGACCCGGTGGTTTAAACTCACGCCAGGTGCATGTGCATGCATGCCCCAGATCCCAAGAGGAGAATGGAGGAGAAGGGACTGCGGCATGGCCATCCCCCCTGGCGAGCCCTGATTTCTTGCTTTCTGTCTTTCTGTCTGTCTGGTGAGCGCACGTGCCCTATGGCAAAAACCTCTCAAAAAAAAAAAAAAGAAAGAAAGAAAGAAAAAAGCTCACTAGTACAAAAATAAAAGTATAGCAATTAAGAACAGAGGTTAAGAAGTTTAAAAGACCTGGACCAGCAGGTGGCGTGGTAGTTAAGGTGCAGGACACTCCCACATGGCCAACCAGGGTTCGAGTCCTGAGTCTGGTGGCTTGCTTTCTCACTTCCTCTCTCTCTCACTCTCACCCTCTGTCTCTCTCTGGTCAAACTAAAAAAATAAATGAATTAATAAAATAAAATAAATAATTATAAAAAAAAAAGAAGTTAAAAAGACCTACTTCAGATGCCAAATAGCCTGTGTGACTTTTGAGTGTTGGTTTTATACTCTGTACTATACCCCTGTTTCAAGAGAGTTGTTAAGATGCTAAACTAACAGAACCAACAGATGGCGTAACGGCTACATCACTGGACTCCCATGTAGTTGACCGCGGTTTGAGTCCTGGACCCGGTGGCTTAAACTCATGCCAGGCGCGTGTGTGTGCATGCCCAAGATCCCGAGAGGAGAATAGAGATGGGATTGCAGCATGGTCACCCCCCCACACACACCGGGGGGTGGGGGTGATTTCTTGCTTTCTGTCTCTCTGTCTCTCTCTGTCTTTCTGGCGAGCGTGCGTGCCCTATAGCAAAAACTCTCAAAAAATAAAAAAGATTCTAAACTAACAAATAAAATAGCTTATTTATAATGCTTAACACTACAAAAGCATTCAATAAATGGTAGCAATTCTTATTACCCTCAGAGATTTCAGGCTGGTCATATGAGTAGAGACTGAATGCCAGGGTGAGGGTTGGCATTGGAGTGCTAAGAAGCTCTGCTGTACCTCCCCTAGGACAAATACCCAGGTGTTAAACTATCTCTGGCTTCCAACTCAGCTCTAGCTACCTTGGAAAGGTACCAGGCAGGCAGGAGCCCCGGGGAGCCAGGTGCAAGTGAGGTTTAAACCTTTCAATAACTGGGAAAGGGACCAGCTTGTGGCATGGTGGTTGGAGCAGAGATGTCACAGGGCTGACCACACAGTTTGAGTCCAGACTCGGCGGTGTGAGAAGCACGCTGGTGCATGTGCAGGAATACCCAGAATCCCCAAAGGAGTACGAAATGAGAGAGGATTGTGGCACGACTACTCCCTAGTGGGGATGCTTTCCCACTTTCCCTCTCTCACCAGCAAGCACACATGCCCTCTGGCAAATAAAAACAAAAACAAAACAAAAAAGCTGGGAAATAGCATGAATGGCTGCGTGGGAGTAAGAGGAACCAAACGACTGGGGGATATGGAAGTGAGACACATTTTTCAATCACTCATGAACTCATAAGTTACCTTGATGAAGCTCAGAGGGGAAAGCACATCCATGAAGAAACTGCTCCATGGGTCTTCAAAGGCAGTGTTGGAAAGGAGGCTTATGATCCCAGAGTTCATTTCCTGCAAACTGACCACCCCAGGTCAGAAGCTTGTCCTCGGGCCTGGCAGGTACTGCCTGTGCCACAAACATGTCCTCAAAGACTTCTAAGCCCTGGGTTCTGACCATCAAACTCTCCCTCCCTCAGCTGCTGATCTCTAACCCCTTGCTACTGCTAGCCCATGATGAGAGACCTGGGACTGGATCCCATGTGGGCAGAAAGCACCTACCCTTCAGACTTAAAGAGTGAGGGAAGGGACCAGCAGTTAGCCTAATGGCTATGTCGCTGAACTCCCACGTAGTCGACCGCAGTTCAAGTCCTGGACCTGGTGGCTTAAACTCATGCTGGGCGCGTGTGCGTGCATGCCCAAGATCCCGAGAAGAGAATGGAGGAGAAGGGACTGCGGCGTGGCCATCTTTGCTGGGGGGGGGGTGATTTCTCGCTTTCTGTCTCTCTGTCTCTCTTTGTCTTTCTGACTAGCACATGAGCCCTATAGCACACGAGCCCTATAGCAAAAACTTCTAAAAAAAAAAAAAAAAAAGAATGAGGGGGGACAGGTTACGGCAGCTTCCTAAGCAAACAACTTGAGACTGGACTGGTCAAGCTTAACTGAGCTCAGGTATAGGGAAAGGTGAAGGGGCCCTGCAGACACCTACCCAATGACATATATGTCCAGATTCAGGTTCTGGTTGTTCAGCTGGAGCAGGTCATTGAGGTCTAGAGGGGGTGCTGCTGAGGCCACGTTCCATGTCACAACATGTATACTGCGGAAGGGATGTAAAGGGAAGTCATGGAGGAAGGAGGATAAGACTCTATCTAGATAACTGACAGGGGTCCAGGCCACTAACGACTATACCACAATCCTCCGCAGTCACAATTGGAAATGGGAGTTTCCGCATCTGGTTATGGGAAGAAGGGTACTGAGCTACACAGCCTTTGTCTCCACCATCGTCCCCCAGAGCCTGTCTCCTTGGTGCAGGCCCACTGCTGCCCATGCCTGGCGCTGCTGACACTAGTAGAAATGACAACTTGAGACTGGTCAGGCTCAACTGAGCTCCTTTAGAATCAGGCAAGCGAAGGGATGGGGACAGGCAGGAATTTATTAATTTCGTTTTTTAATCCAGTCATCCACATTTCAGTAGTCATATAAAACTCAGTCTGTGGGCCAGTAGGTAGTGTGGTGGTTAAGGTGCTAGACTCCCGCGTGGTCAACCACGACTTGAATCTTGGACCTGGTGCCCTGAAATTCACGCTGGGTGCATGTGCACGTGCACCCAAAATCCCAAGAGAAAGGAGAAGGGATTGTGATGTTTTCTCACTTTCCCTCTCACTGTCTCTCTCCAGGGAGCACACATACCCTATGGCAAAAAAAAAAACCCAAAAAAATAAATAAATAAAAATTCAGTCAGCACCTTCCCACCCCTGCTCCTCAACCCGGCAGTTCCTATGACCACCAGGAAGACCCTGGAGGTTTAGATTTCATCTTGTGAGAGGCCTCAGCATTATAGGGAAACTTTTAAAAAGAGACAACCACGCAACATTCAACATTCCGTTTCTCACTCTTACCCTGGAGCACAACCAATTCTGCAGAGCACTTCTGGGAGCCTAAGAAGCTTCTAAGTAACACCTGTCTCAACATCTCTCTACCATCTCTTGGGAAAAGTCACTGTTTCAATAATATTCTCCACCTCAGCTTAATACAAATCCTAGGGAAGCAAGAAACTACATCAGAGGCAGTTCTCTTTATCTAAATCCCTACAACAATGCTCCAGGGAAGCCCCAGACGGTGTGGGCAGAGAGCAGGCAAAAGCTACAGACCCTGAGACTCCGTGTGAGTGCTTGGTACTCTAAGAGGACTACCTATTGCAGCTCAAGATATAGAATGAAAGCGGGTACAGGAGGGTGGGAGACGAGGACAGATTATCCCAAACATCTCTTCTCCATCAGACCTTGTTCTTAGAGGTTCATTTTCTAAAAAGCATGACTTGAAGAAATTCTTGGCGAGCTTAAAGGAACTTCCTGCACCTCCCTAAGAATATAAACAAAACAATACAAAACTACCTTCCCAGGCACTCAGCCCAAAATTACTCGCTTCATTTGTTTACGATCTCCCCCTGCTGACCAGTAGAGAATTAAGGAAGGCAGCTCTTTTACTCAAAAGCGACTTGTTTTCCCAAGGACCTGGTCTAAGCAGACTGAGAGCCAAAGTCGGGATTTCTTGTTCCCGTTCTCAAGTCCGACGATTAGCAGCAAATCCATTCATCGTGACTTACACTAAGCTGGTGATTAGTGCTGTTCTTCATGAAAAAGCAAGCATGAGACCAGGCTCTACTACTTTACTAAAGTATCTTATCTAAATCTGATTTTGGCTTTCCGGAGGTCACAACGGGATCAGTCAAACCCCCTCGTGTATATGCTCATCAAAGTATGAACAATATTTTCATTCTAGAGCTACGGGATGAATGTCCCTCCTATCATTAATCTCTAACAGCCCAACACGGCTGTCTCCTTCAGAAACCAACTAGAACACCTGTTTGGGGCGCCCTAGTGGGAACGAGGGGGCGCGAGGCTCAGGTCCTACTCGACACTGGCCCGGGAGAATCTGGGAGGGTCTCTGAACCCCTTCTCTCCCGTCTGGCTCATCCTCTAGGCGCGCAAGCCCGGTCTGGGTTGGAAGCAGCCATCCCGCCGGAGCGAACCAGGCTGTCCCCAGGCGTCAAACTGACCTGAGCTTCTTGCCTCTCGGCTCGGTCGGATTCCGTGGGCTCACGGCCGCCATCGTCCTCACGCAGCGTCCCGGCAGCCTCGCGTCTCCCCGCCCCAGCTGACCCGAGTCTAGCAGCCCCTCGGCGGCAGGGTTCGGACTCCGAACTCGCGCCCGCTTGTTTTTCTTCCGGATTCTGACCGCCCGCCTCGGCTTCCGTAAGAGGCGGGCCCGGAGCGCACGGCGGGCTCTGGGTGGCGCAGTTCCGCGGAAGGGGCGGGGCTCTCCGGCGAGCGCGAAACGGCGAAAGGCACCGAGAAGTCCGGCTCAGGGCTTCGGGGACATAAAAGGGGCGTGCCTTGCTTGTCACCAGGACACGACGCAACACTGCTCCAGCCGCCGGGCCGGTGCCGGGCAGCCCGCCCCCGGCCCCTCCCACGCCGTCCGAGACTCCCAGCGTGCCCCGCGCGAGGCCTCTTCCGGCGGAAGTGGGTGCCACGCCTGTGCCTGCGTCCGCTCGCTGCTTCTACCTCACTGGTGACAGCTGTGTGGGTTCTCCCCCTGCTCAGGAGCCCAGAGGACAAGTGGGGGTAGTGAGGGGTACGTAATCTAGCCACTGTGCCGCCTGCGGCCCAGTTCCTCCCGCAACGGCAGGTGACTTCTCCAGGTCCCACAGGTCAGGCTGGTCAGGCTGGTAGTGGCGCTCCTCCCTTCTGTCTTCCACTCTCAAGTTGCGTTCTCTTTTTGAACTCATTTTACACATGGGACGTTTGGGGGTTCCCGGACTCAGAAAACTAGCCATCATGAGTGAAAAGTTATGTCACCCCTTCTGTGGGTATACATTCAAGGCCAAATACGAATTAAAGGTTTACTTTGATTTCCTTCGTCACTGGTTCTTAATTTTTTTTCCCCCTTGGAGAGGGGGAAGCGAGGGGATGCATGTAATACCTAAGAGCCTGACCTTCCCTGGGAAAATGAACACACAGTTTTGCAGACAAGCTTCATAAGGTTCACAGACCCAAAAACCAGGTTAAGAACTCCTACTTTAAGTAGAAATTATTGCCAGTAGAAAATAGCCAAATTACAATTAAATGTCTGCATAAGTAAACTGACACGAGTGTTTTAATTTATGGGAATCCATCTGCTGAAATCTTCAGACATTTCTGTACCTTTTCCTAATCCTTCCCTGGTAAAATGGTAGCCATCAGTAGAAGTTTGAGGGACATCTGAGTTGTAAGATTGACGTAAGGACATCACCAATAAGCTGGACTCCAGAAAGGTCTGTCTAGGATTTTATTAGACTGCTTTTTTCCCAATATAACTGTATTGGAAGATTGAGACAAAAAGGCACAAACTCACATTAAATAAACAAGATAATCTAATCAGTTCTACAAAGTGTAATTTGTAAAAGAAGTAGCACTAGGAACCGATCAAAATAAGTCAGGGAGTCCCAGTAGGGACTGTAAAATGGAAATTTGGGGAAATATACATGTGCCCACAATACTGACCCTGTCTCTGACCCATAAGAAGGCCAGAGCCCAGCACCTCTCCAGAGGCACTACTGCTTCCAATTGGGACTGTAGCCCTGGAAATCTAATAGAAGCAGTTGGTCTGAAGGGGTGTGGCACACCCTCAGTATTACCCTGGAGCTGAGCCTTTCATCATAAGCCCCCTTGAGTACTAGTCAGTTTGGGAGTGGGTTAGGAGGGAAGGGGATACTTAAAAGAAGCCAACACCGTTGCCCAGCAGCAACACCATCCATGAGGATGGAACAGACCAAGAACATCCCTCCTTTAGGTGGGCAGAAGCCCCAGATCCAGGCTGACCTCAGGAAGTTCTAGCTCAGCTCCTTTGAATGCTTTCCAAAGGGCAGCAAGTGGAGGTGGAAGTAGCCAGAGAAAACACAGATAAAGGGCGAGCCCCCACTAGAGCTGAAGTGATATGTGTGGATCTCAAAGAGCTGAAGGAAATAGACTAACATCTGCTGATCCTCAAACCACATAAACAGCTATCCATTTAGAATGTTACAATTTGTTTCTCCCAAGATAACCCATATTTGGACTTCACCTACTTGATGAATGAAGAAGAGAAATTTTTAAAGCATAAATATAATTAATAGTCAATACAGAGCTTAGAGGAAAACATTTATAATTTTCTCCAGTATGAATGCCTCTTCAATTTCCCAGATGACTAAATGCTACCAGCAGTTGAGATACTAATAGCCAGCTGAAATGCCCCACATCCATTAGTAAAAACCTCACAAGGTGAGGAGACTTAATATAGAGGGAAATGTCATAATAGGACATCTGGTCCCAGAGGGACTTCAATGAAGGTCAGAGCTAACCATGCTGAGGGGTCTGAATCTGTCCACCCTGGCCCCCAAAGGGCCACAGGGACGCAGCCTTCAGAATGTCACAGGTATAATCCTGTGAGACACTCCCTTATTGCACTTAGAAATGAGTAAGTAAGGCAAGCAAACTGACAAAAAGAAAAAAAAGGACAAGTTATCTTATCTCACTTCTCGCTCCCCCCAACAAAAATTTGGTCTCTCTCAGCAGATGCACCCAAGCTAGCATGGGCTTGGATCACTGCACACTCAGGTCAACATACTTAAGGTTTGGGAATTGTCAGGTAATACCACAGTGACCTCAGAGTCTCCCACCAGGCAGGCACGCTCAGATTCTGCCAAGTCACAGGAAAATGAAGAGCTCAGCAGCTTCTCCCTTGGAGCCTGGACTTCCTCACCAGCCTACTTCGGTAGAGTTCTACACTATGATCACTACTAGCTTCTGATTGTCCAGGACAGAACTCAGCATGGGGGCAGGGCAAGCTGAGTTCTTCATCCCAATTCCTTTTCAGCAACTGGAGACAAAAGGAAACATGTCTGCTAGAAAAAACGCTTTGCATGCTCATTTTTGTATAGCATGAGAAGTCAGGACTCTTGTATCTTAACTAGCCTCAAAGACAGGACAGGGACCCAAGAAAGCACAGAGAAAAGAGGATTATTGCTGAGTGGCAGCACCAGCCCAAAAGGGAAGAGGAACGTGGACATACAGAGCTCCTGAGGGATTGGACCGAGCAGTGTAATGGGGCGGATTCAATTCTAAGGGCCACACTGGCCAAGTCCCTCCAGATGGAGAGCTGACTTGGGTGATTTGTAGGCTCTGAAGAGGTTCAGACAGAGTGGGCAACAGGAGTGCTGAGAAGCCACAGGTGTTTCTAAGATTAGTGACCAGAGATACAGTGACTGGGGCAGGGGCTCTCTGTATTTGTTAAACTTTCTTAAACAGAGACTGGCTGGGCCTTGGGTACCTCCTTGGTGTTTAGAGCACTCTTAACTGCAGATTTGGTTACTGGGAGCAGAGGTCAGAGTTAGACCTGTAGAACTGGGAGGGAACTCGGTATTTCTAACTCATCTCCTCTCTCCAGGTAAGCACTCAAAATCGCAGAGATCTGCCAAGGAAGCAAAATACCTAAGAGTTTATCCCAAGGTTGGAAACAAAGGAACTTAAACTATTTAAATCACCACATCACGAAAGGCAGCTATTTTGAAAGACCAAAATGTCACTTGGAAATAAAGGGGTGGGGGGGACACAGAAATGGGTGAGAACACAATGAGGAGAGAGGGAGGAGCTGTTAATACAGCAACCTACACGCCACATATCTCAGAGGAGCAGGCTCCTGTACACACAGGCTTTGTAATACCAAACGGTCTATTTGTTCACAATATTAAAGGGCATCTAGAATTAGCTACAGTAAGGGATCGAAAGTTGCCTGAAGAATGGGCACAGAAAGGCTGCGTCCGAAGATGGCCTGTCACTCAGGAGGGTGGAGCTGCTGGGCCTTCCTGTTGACCACTGTCTTGCAAAACTAGAAAAGAAATACAGTTATTAAGGAAGTGACAGGGAAAAATAGAAACATACTATAAATCATCTTGAATACGGGAATTTCAAAATGAGGAAGGATGCCAGTCAGTGGGAAAGGGAGCGGGCGCTCACCAAGTGATCCCCCAAGGTAAGGTGCTCGAACGTGCTGAGTACTCTGAAAACCAAGCTCTCTCTGACCTTCTCCCTCTACTCCACCCCTCTGGCCTCTTCTGAAGCTTGGAGAAACCTTTTCTAAAGTTCTGTTTTCCGACTGAGGGAACTTCCTCTTCCCAGAAGGAATGCCACTGGTGTGAAATCTCCTTAGTTAGGAAGGTAAAACCACCAGAGAAGACACCGAAAATCAAACACAACGCCTAAAGCCCAGATGAGCTTTGTCCCAAGGCAAGACTGTTCTCTGGGCTCGTTCAGGCCCCTAAAATTAATATACTACCCCTCTAAAATTGCCTACACCTCCAACATCCACTTTGTGTGGCTCCCTTACACATGTGCACGTAATACATTTGTATGCTTTGCTATTTCACATTTATTGTCAGTTTATTTCAGTGAACCTAATTATCAATCCTTTAAGAGGGAAAGCAAAGTTCCTTTTCCTCTCACCGGGGAGAAAGGGCACTAAGGCCAAGCAGGGACCGAGGAGTTGGCACTGCAACAATCCACTTAGTCTTACCCTTCAATCTCCCAGAAGCTGCTTTAAGAGCACGGGACAGGGAGTGAGAGCAGAGGTTTGCTTACTGCTGGTGAGACCCTAAGCCTCCTTAGCCTCTTAGCGCTAGAGGACAAACGATTTTTATGTGATAAAACAATTTTCCCTCAGAGCCCTAATTGGGAGTCGGGCCAGGTTTCTCATTCCACCCCGACTCTGTGCTGCTGAAGTCACCTGTGTCTGGAGGTGTGCCGGGCGCTGGAGAATCAGCACCGGAAGCCAATGAGAGGAAGGGGCTTGAGGAAGACTGAAACAAAACGAGGGACACCCTGTTCCTGCCCTGACCTGGGCAGAAAGTCTCCCAGCATATGACAGGTGACACTTCTGATGGGGACAGCTACTAGGTATGGGGCTGGGGGTATAAGGAATAAGGATATGAAGCGCCAGGCACACTGATAAATGGTAAGAAGAGCTGTCTGGCCAGTGAGTTTTCCCAGGGAGGGGCAGAGAATGCTGCTGTCTGGAAGCTGGAAATCCTCTGCATGGAGGCGTATGGGGATGCCCAGTGTGACAGCTTCAACTCGGGATGGCTCATTTGACAGGAAGGGGGAGAATGACTAGCAGCAGGTGAAACTGACCCCTGTGTCCTTCGCCCCTGCTCCTTGGTCTTACCACTCTGCTCAGTGCTTTATCTGAGCAGTTCTTTATAAGACACATCTCTGAAGTGTCCTGATAGCCACAACCTCTTCCCATGGAAGCCTGAGAGCTATTTCGCATGGCAGTCAGCATCATTACTAAAGGGAAGGAGAAGGGATGAAGTAGGTTTTCTAGCTCCACAGTGAGCCATTGAGGCCTTGAGGACCCAAACTGATTTTAGCTTCTGTGACAGGCACAGAGAGGAATTTGGTACATACAGTGCAGAAGGGGGAGGGGTGACTTTAGTCATCTGCTGTCATTCCTTTCACTGGGTCCTTTTGTCTCATCTGGAACAGAAAAAAAAAAAAGAAATAAGAAAAGTGGAAGGCGTTGCTGATGGAATTCAACCACAAATACATCCCACCTTCTCAGTTCCGCCAATACATAGAGTGGAGCATTATTTGTGCATGAAACAAAAAATTAGAAGGATAGGGCTTTGTAAACATATAGCCAAAGCCATGCCATTTACAGCTGTCACTGGTCTCAACACAACACGATTTTGGTTTCTCTTCCCTGTGTCACAGTGTTAGAGATGGTTCTTAAATTTAAAAAAAAGAAAATTTAAGCACGTCTCTCTTATTCATTCATTCATTCAACAAATATTTATAAAACTTTTCTTTGTTCTAGGAACTTTGACAGAGCTGCGGATAGTCAGCAGTGAACCCCAAACAGACCAAATCTCTTCTCGAGGAGCTTATGTTCTAGGGCAGAGTGGCAGAACAAACGCATTCAAGGGAGTCAGGTGGGCTGCTGGGGTAGAGAGTGACCGTGGGGAAGTGTGACCCTCTAAGCGGGCTGTGGAAGCTTAGGAGCAAGATTTGAGTGGAAAATCGAAGGAAGTGTGAGAAAAATCCTGTGACTCTCAGGGGGAAAAGTGTTAAGGCAGAGATTCTGATACTCATTCTTTCTTAACAATGATTGCCATGATTATATGAAATGTCTTAGCTTAGTTTTTTGGCCTGTTCCTTAAATTGATTGAAATAATTGCTTGGGGCACTTGTAAATTCTTGGGTCCAAGACCTGCTGAATTAGAACCTATAGGAGATAGACCATAAGGGATTCGTGAAAGCAATTCACGGCCCGTGTCTCATGTTACAACATCCGCAGCAAAAATCCTGTTTCAAAGAGGGAAGTCTACAGTCTAGCCAGGTGCTTATTCCTGATCTGAAACCTTTCAACAGTCTCTTAGTTCGACGTGAGATGCCTGCCTCCTGTGGGCTCTATTCAAATCTCACTTTCCTGAATATCATTACATTTTTATTGTTTTGTAACCTAAGTTATCCATATTAATTTCTTCCTTTCTTTTTTCTTTTTTTAGAGTTTGTTTTAAACTTAGGACTTGTGCTCTTTCCAGAGAGAGAAAGAGACAAAGATAGTGAGAAAAAGTGAGAAATCACCCCCTGCCCCAAGGAGATGGCCACACCACAATCCCTTTCTCCAGTCTCCTCCAGGGATCTTGGGCACACATGCACATAAGCCCAGCGTGAATTTCAAGCCACTGGGTCAGGTACTCGAACCATGGTTGGCCATGTGGGAGTCCAGCAATGTAACCGCTATGCCAACAACTGGCCCCTATTCATATTAATTAATACCTGTTAATATATTACTTTATAAAGGTTCAATGAATTCAAGATTTCCCAACATGACAGAATCTGATAAGAAAAAGGGCACTGTCCTTTTTTTTGGGAAGGTTTTTCTATAGGGTACATGTGCACACTGGGGGAGAAAGAAAGAGTGAGAATTTACCCTCCAGGGGGATGGCCACTCTACAATCCTTCTCCTCTATCCTCCTCTTGGGATTTTGGGCACACATGCACAGGGACGTGACGTGATTTTCAAGCCACCCAGTCTGGACTCAAACCGTGGCCGGCCATGTAGGAGTCCAGCACCTGAACCACCATGCCTGCTGGTCTCAAACGATGTCATACTTTAAAAAAAAAAAAACACCTAACCCAGCCTCTGGCGGCCTGAAAAACACACTGGGATTATGTGCATGTGAGCCTGAAGTCCTGAAAGGATGGACTTTCTTCTTCCCTCTTTCCTTCCATCTCTCTCTGGCAATTAAAATAAATAAAAATAAAAACTGAGTTCTGTAGTGTTAGGTTAGAATGAGAAGCATTTGACCTAACCACTGTGAGACAGTGATAATGCAAGCTCCCTGCACGTGTGGAAGTCTTATATAGCTGCAGATTTGGATCCCTAGGTTGGTTCTGAAAACACACCGGGTGCCCTAGGGTCCTGTGGTGCTGGAGGGCTAGGGAAAGGGTATCATGGCATGACCATGACCAAACCTTGTTGAAGGTGTTCTCTTTCTCTTTCCTCTTTCTCATGTGCACATATGCACTATCATTAAAAAAAGAATGAGGCGAGACCAGCAGTTGGCATAATGACTATGTCACTGGACTCCCATGTAGTCGACTGCAGTTCGAGTCCCAGACCTTGTGGGTTAAACTCACGCCAGGTGCATGTGCATGCATGTCCCAGATCCCAAGGGGAAAACGGAGAAGGGATTGGAGCATGGTCATCCCCCCAGTGGGTGATTTCTCGCTTTCTGTCTCTCTGTCTTTCCGGCGAGCACATGCGCCCTATAGCAAAAACTTCTTAAAAAAAAAAAAAAAGAGGGGGAGCCTGGCAGGTGGTTAAGCCTGTGGTGGTGAAGGGCGCTGGACTCCTACATGGGCGACTGCTGTTTGAGTCCTGGTCCTGGCAGCTTGCTTTCTCGCCCCTCCCTCCACTCTGTCCCTCTCTGGTCAAATTAAAATAAATAAAGTTAAATAAAATAATTCTTAAAGAAAAAAAGGAATGAGGTGGCTGGCAGGTGTCATGGTGGTTAAGGGCGCTGGACTCCTACATGGTCGATTGCTGTTTGAGTCCTGGTCCTGGCAGCTTGCTTTCTCGCCCCTCCCTCCACTCTGTCCCTCTCTGGTCAAATTAAAATAAATAAATAAAGTTAAATAAAATTCTTGAAAAAAAAAAGAGAAGCCTTTGTAAGACAGATATAGAAATAAATACAGACGTAAAGTTGCCTAGCTCCACTGTATGAGTAGGCGTGGGAACAGCAACATCCCAAAGCACACCTAGCACCCAGGTCATGGTTTCCCAATACCACCACACCGAATCAGGGTTCTCTGGACATATGGCCAATTCTGGGGTTGGGTCATAGAGAAAAGATGATTCTGGAATGCCTTGATATGCTTCTAGTGAATAATAGTTAATGTCACCAGCAACTGGAGAGAAAGACAGAATAGAGTAAACGAAACACTGTGATATATTCAGGCCTAAAATACGTAACCTGGGTCTAATCATACAGAAATACCAGAAAACCCAAAGGACTGGCCCATAACCTTCAAAAATGTCAAAATCATGGCAGTCTAGGAAAAGATGAGGAACTGCGCCAAACTGAAACGATGAGCTGTGATGGCTGGGTGTGGTGTGTGAGCCTGCACTGTATCCTTTGCTCGGAAGGCACGGCCTCTCTGGGCACAGGGGCACACAGGGATTTTGCTTGTTTTCAGTTTGCTACAAGGCACATGCTCTTGCTAGAGACAGAGAGGGAGAGAGTGAGAAATCACTGCCCTGGGGGGATGGCCAACCGACAATCCCTTCTCCTCCATTCTCCTCTCAGAATTTTGGGTAGAATAGCCACAACCAGAGGATTACCTTGAGGAAGCCTTTGAAGGAAGAAAAAGAGACTAATCTTTGTTAGCAGATGGTAAACCACAGAGTACTTGGTGGGCAGAACTGAGCTGGGAAGGTTCATGCATGAATTATGTGCTGGGTGTTTGCTTCTCAACAGTTTGAGTAGTTGACATGTAACTATTTTCTCAAAAATATGTAAAACCATACTGTCGGGGACCAGCAGGTGGTGTGGTGGCTAAGGTGCTGGATACTCCCATGTGGCCGACCATGGTTTGACTCCTGAACCTGGTGGCTTGCTTTCTCACTTTCTCTCTCACTCCACTTTCTCTCACTCTCTCTGTCTCTCTCTGGTCAAATTAAAATGAATGAATAAATAAAATTAAATGAATAATTATTTTAAAAAAATACTGTCTCTGTTGCTACAGAGTCACAAACAAAATTATAACAAGTATCTTGAAGGTTATCTTTAAAATCCAGTTCTTTGAAAATTTTAAAAGTTGTTTAAGTCGGGGCCAGCAGGTGGCGTAGTGGTTAAAGGTGCTGGACTCCCACATGGCCAAAATGCAGTTCAAGTCCTGAACCTTGTGGCTTGCTTTCTTGCTTTCCCTTTCTCTCTCTGTCTCTGCTCAAATTAAGAAAGGAAGGAAGAAAGAAAGAAAGGAATTAAGTAAATAATTCTTTTTTTTTTTTTTTAGAGGTTTTTTCTATAGGGCGCGTGCGCTCGCCAGACAGAGACAGAGAGACAGAAAGCAAGAAATCACCCCCCAGGGGGGATGGCGATGGCCACGCCACAATCCCTTCTCCTCCATTCTCCTCTTGGGATCTTGGGCACGCACGCACATGCGCCTGGAGTGAGTTTTAAGCCACCGGATCCGGGATGCAAACCGCGGTCAACTACATGGGAGTCCAGCGACATAGCCATTATGCTAACTGCTGATCCCAAGTAAATAATTCTTTAAAAAAAATTGTTTAAGTCAAGAACTATGCAGTATGAGCAAAAATGTTTTGATATGTAAAGTAAATGTTTGTGGGAAAATGTAAAAAATAAGCAAATTAAAAGAAAAAAAAAAAGAGTGTTGGGTGGACACACACACGTGCCTGGCATTTTTTTTTTTTTTTGGAGAG